GGTGGGATTGGGAGGAATGAGGGAGGGCTCTATGGCTGGGATACAAAGTAAATAACCTGTGATTAATATAAAAAAATAAAAAGTATTAAAAAGAGAAAGAGAGAGAGAGAACCAGAACCTCAAGGGAAGATTTGGTGTGGAAGAGCCTCTCAAACCTCCAATTCACAGTGTCCTTTATGCAAAAGGCTAATCCCCTTTCCAGTCAGCACAAGTCTGCATGAATAAACATTCGTCTACCCTTCAGAGGATGTAGTGAAATAACAAACACCTGTGTCAATCCTCGATCTCACAACTCATAAGAGGTTTTTCACTTCTGAAATGGTGTTTGACAAAGCTCCCAAGAGAAATATTTGTGATATTGGTTATATGAAAAACACAGCAAAAAAGGCTGCTTAAGTAATTATAAAATGTCAGTGGATACAGCGCTGTTCGTGAGATGGTAATCAGTTAATGTCAGTTGCAACATCAGTTAAATAATGTGCTCCACAATCAACTAGCTTCCACTTGTAGTTAGCTTTCTATGTTCTCAACGTAATAGCTTCCTTTCATGTTACCGTTCACAGACTGAAAAGTAGATTAATCATTGAATAAGACTCTTATTAAAAATCTAAATTTATACTAATGGAAGTATTTGAAGCAAATGAACAGACAGAATAATAATGTGCATGTAAAAATGGAATTCTCTGCCTAGTACCCGTAGGCACAAATTTCAAAATTGAAATATTATGATTTTTTTTTGTTTTCTTTTAATACATTATTCACTGTTTCTAATACTTGTATACCAAATTTTACAACACTAAAGATAGAAAAAAGGAAAAATAGTTATTCATATGAAAGACAGTTTTCTTACCACCTTCTTTTCATATATATAATATGAAATATATAGTATATATGATATATGTATCCGCCATATGTTTAGCACTTCATATATTGATTAACTTTAGAATTTTAAATTTCAAATTAAAATATATGACTAATTCCAATGCTACTCTGTTGCTTCTAACCTCTAAACTTATCATGTTTTGTAATGTAAAAAAAGAGACCAGTTTATTGTTCATTTTTACTTAATACTTTTATCTTTTATTTCTGTAAATTTAATTCTTTTCCCATTTTATCAACTTTAATTATGTGTATGGCTGTGCATATGTACGTGCATATGAGTGCAGGGGTCCTTAGGGTCCAAAAGAGGACACGGGATCCCCTAGAAATACATAATTACAGGTATTTTTGAACAATGCACAGTGTGTGCTGGGACTTCTACCCAGTTATCCACAAAATCCATATGCTATATGTGCACTTAAATAATGCAGCATTTTCTGAGACCCTTCTCCATTCCTTATTATGGAAATTTCTATGTCCTCCTCTAAAGGTACTCATTCAATTATTTTATCATCCCCCTTGAAATTTTATGTATGCTTATGTCTTGATTAAGTAGATCTCCTTCCTCTCCTCTCCAATTCTATCCTATGCCTTCCAACCGTTTTCTCTCCTTATGTCATGTGTTCTTGTTTTTTTGCCACTGAGTCCATCTGTGCTGCTAGTATCTAAATAGACGTAAGACCATCTACAGGACCACATATCTGAAGACTGACACTCCTTCCTTCATCAGTCATCACTTGCCAACACCTTCTCAGATGTGAATGAGATTTCATGAAGCCTTCCCCAGTTTACTCTGGGGCTGGCGGGATGCGCAGGCTTTATCTTGCACCCGTGTTGTAGAAAGTTTTCTTTCCACTCTAGCTCCCAGAATAATGACTCATGAGGCTCAAGATAATTCTTTACAAATACCTTGGCCGTGTAGCTGGGGTCTTCTCTGACTAGCTCAGACTCAAAATAACCCATGATACTAATTTACATTTTGCCGCATGGCTGATTACCTGAGCTCAGACACCATGCATCCATCTTCTTCCTGGCTGAAATGCACATGCCTCACTCTATCCCAGAATCCCTTCTGCTTGCTGGATGTCCCACCTATTTCCTGACTCAGCCATAGTTCATTGGCTTTTTAATTGATAGGTGTTGCATCCATACAATACACAAGGGATTTCCTTCTACACACATGTCTTGTGCATTCCTTCATAGGTACCATGAGTTCCTCTGTGCACCAGTCCTGTAACACCTGCTGAATTTTTTTCACTATGGATGTCCACTACCTTTGGCTCTAATAATCTTCCATCTCCCCTTTTTCTATGATCCTGAGCCTTGAAGGCAGACTGTGATGTCCCATTTCTACAGTACTTATTTTATGCGCGTTGAACTTTTGTGAATCTCGGCAAAAATAACCTTCTCTGATGAGGTTTAAGAGGTGCACTCATCTACACATTTTGATTTCCTAGGTATCATATGGTCCAGAATTTCTTTTTTATGATCTTTTGCTTTTATGTATTTTTTAATTAGTTTACAAACTAGTGGGTTATTTTTAAGGATTCTTTATACATCACCTGTCTTCTACTACCACCTTCTTATAAATTTTACTTATGAGTAAAGATAATATGTTTTCATCTAGCTTTGGCATACACAATTCATTTTGTTAAGCCTTTACCTCACTCCTTGTTCCATCTTCATCATAACTTCCAGCGTGAGTCTTTCTGTTGGTAGCACTCCTCCTCTACACTTTCATTCTCCCTTTATTCTACTTTCATCTCATTTTTTTGTTCTGTTTTTGTTTTTTCCTCATGTTTTGAATTTTTCTTTATTTATTTATTCACTTTATTTATTATAATTTATTCATTTTGTATCCCAGCTGCAGACTGCTTCGTTGTCCCCTCCCAATCCTGCCCTCCCTTTTCTTTTATTGTATCTGCTTCCACAAATCATTTCTAGGTTTATGAATTTCACTTGTACTCCAAAACAGAAGATAAAAAGGTAGGAACCTCTGTTTTATTGAGGTGAGGTCTCCCTTGGTGAGAATGCAGGGCTCACCAAGTAGGCTAGTGGAGGTAGCCGTATTGCCCTGGGGTCATCTGTCGATTTTTCTCCTGAGCTCAGTTGTAACTGGCAGCCGCCACACCTGCCTGGTATTTTACTTGAGTCCTGACAATCTGAGGCTTACTTCTCAGACTTGCAGCACAAATGCTCTATCTATAGAGCCATTTCTTCTCAGCCTACATCTGCTCAATTTTCAATATTTATTTGTCTATATTCTCTTACTATTTAGAAACACAATAGTTTTAAATAAAAGTTCAAATTTTAAGAAACCCACAGTCATCTTTAAATATTTCTCATAAAACGTGTCATGTTTGTGAGAAACATATTTTCACAATTTAATGTAAAGAAAAATTGATAAGCATCTACATTGGAAAGAATTACACCCAGTAACGTGATTTTTATATCCCTGACGTCTAATTTAGTGCTGAGATGACAACAAAGCAATGATTATGGTGAGACTTACAACCCACAGCCTGGTGACGTCACGACACTGAGAAGTTCTGAAGGACAACGCATGATTAAAGCTGCAGTCTTGCCATCTTAAAGGACTGATATTTTTTTAACCACCTTTCTTTTTAGCAGTGTGGGCATGTATGCTTTACCATGTATTTCATAGTCTACTTTGACATGCCCTTTTCAGAAAGCAGTAGCAACAGAAAAGCAACTGCACTAGTGAGTGCTGTTTATTTGCCAGCAAATGCTTGCTACATGCCCTGTTTAATCATGGAGCTGGTCTGTAGTATTACAATCATCACTTTTGCATGACAGGCATCCCAGAGGCAGAGGAGCAACCACATTTCTTGTTCAAGTTCACACTAGCCCTGTTTTGTGGGATACACTTAGTTCTCGTTTATCTCACTCTAAATTGCTTACTTTAGGTTACACAATTTTGACTCTTTACTGAGCTATAATACTTTCAAATATTATTTTTACCACTTACAAACATTCAGATCCTGTGTCAACAGGGTTCCGCAGCAGGTCTTAAAGACAAATGCTACCAAGACTAACAACCTGAGTTCAATCTCAGCTCTCAAGAACTTTACATGAGGGACTGGAGAAATGGCTCTGTGCTTAAATGTTCCACAGGACCTGGGTTCAAATTCTGGCACCTACATGAACACCTGTAACTCCAGTTCTAGGGAATCTGACATCTTCACATAAACAGACATGCAGGCAAAATACAGATACGCATGAAATAAAAAATAAATAAATCCAAAAAAAAAAAAAACCAAAAGAACTTTACATGCATCCTGTAACATAGCATGTTCATTCTTATGCACACAGACACACACACAAAGAAATACAGTATAAATTAAAAATAATAAGAACTTGTTATGAATTGTTAATTTAATATGGATCTCAGGATCTCAAATAATACTGGTAAAATAGGAGTTATAGTTATCTATAACTATAGATTGTTCTATAATAATTTAAAAATTTCACTTAGGTGCAAATATGATTTTCACAGGGAGGATTGTTACACTGTTAAAAGGAGCCTGGTTGTGTACATCTATTGCTCCTAAAGCTGAGTGTTTAAATTATTGTAATCTGCCTCTGTTCACTTAATCAATCTGATGCATGCCATATATTTTTTTTCTGTCCTTTCAGGTTTTTCAAAATGTTTTCACCATGAGAATGTTTCTTCTTTCTATTGAATCACATTATAACTAAGAAGTAAATTAAATTACATGCAATAGCACAAAATATTGCAGCATTATAACTATTTGAATGTCTAACACCACAGAAGCATATGTATTGCCATTTTGTACTTATATTCATGGTTGACAATAGTTTTATAGATTAAGTTTCTAGAGATATACAATGAGTTTTATTTCCAAAACTACTTTTTTTTACATACTTTTTGGAAAAGAAAATTTATGTGTAACAGAGTAAATTGAAACCTAAAAATACATTATAATTGAACATAAGCAATACTTGGAAGTCAAGGGTTTTTTTGTTTTTTTGTTTTGTTTTCATTTTTAATTATCAGTTTCCTAGTGCATCCAGGCAGAGGTAAATGTATCTATTTTCTTTGCCTTTCTGTCTCACAGTCTCATTTATTATCTACTCAGGTATCCCCAGGTCTTCATGCCGGATCCACTCTGATTCCCATGAACAGCATTTCTCTGCCTCAAGGGGAAGATGATTATGGTTACCAGTGTTTGGAGGGCAAAGACTGTGCTAGCTTTTTCTGCTGCTTTGAAGACTGTAGAACTGGGTCCTGGAGAGAAGGCCGTTTACACATACGCATCGCCAAAATTGATTCCTACTCCAGAATCTTTTTCCCAACAGCTTTTGCCTTGTTCAATCTGGTTTATTGGGTTGGATATCTTTACTTATAAATTCAAAAAATAGTTAAAGATCATGAAGTCTGTCTTAGTCCAATATAATCATTTGTATTTCAGTAACATGATGCTTAAATTTAAAATGAAAGCCCACTGGTTAAAATCTGAATGCTACAGTTAAAAGTAAGATTAGGGCTTTCATAAATGAGTAAGACAGAAGTGTTAAAGTTAATTTATCTAAATGGACATGAAATTGATTGTCAAATATAGCACACTGAAATCATAACATGTTTGTATTTTAATTTTCTTTATTTTGCTTGTGTACTATTAATATTGGAACTTAATACTTATGTAATACATATTTTGAATATGACATAATTTTAATATACATTTTATTTAAATGTATCTATTGCTTATAATGAAAGACTAATGCCTAATATTAAAGTATTCTTTGCCTACATTAGTCCTTATTTTAATTTTATTTTATTTTATTACTTGCTTTTTATTTGCTCTGTTTGTTCTATAGTTTGTTTAAAGCAAAGCCATGATTTTCTTGGATAATATATCCAAGATATGTTACTCCCAAGAAGAAAATAATATGTGTATTAATTATTTTTAAATAATTTCTCTTGTGAACTGACATTTTGTAATTGTATACAATTATAGATTTAAGTATTGTCATGTCTTATGTTTGAAATGTCAAAAAATTAAATCAAGCTACTTGGCAACTACAGTTTCAAATACGTCAAATTTTATCTCTAATCCAGTTGATTTCCTGCACAAGTGTTAAACAAAGTCAAGCCACATTTAATTTGAGGATTTTCAAGCTAGGATAGAAAACACTAAAGTCATTTTCTTTTTGTTTTGCTTGTAACACAAGGTGAAAAAAAATCAAAGTTATTTTCTGCCTTGTAGGATTTATGAGGTATAAAAAGGTTAACATTAAAATGTTAAAATGTACCAACAATGAAATCAAGTGGGAAATGGTCTGTTTTTTTCTTCATGTGCTACAAAAGAATTTCATGAGTTCAAAAAGCATTGAGTAAAAGTGCTTGATTTAACAGGGCTTAAAGAATCATCTGGCAAACTGAGCTGTGGGTTGTCTTGAGAATACAACTTAAATACATACTATTGACATTTTATAGAGCGGATATATTTAGGAAACCTTGTCAAAAATGAGATTTATCTACCCACTGATTTCTGAGCTGACTTTTACAACTGTATTATAATCATTGTGTTCTCTCTTTTTGACATGTGTGGAGCCTCAAAATTCATTTTGCAAATGGACTTTGTGAGAGGGAACTGTAATAAACTTGAGTAGGGTTGCCACAAATCCATACAGCGAGAAGAAAGACTCCTGAGTGTCTCAGCGTAGGAAAAGTTGATCACACTTGACAGTGCCTCACCTGCGAACAGAGGTTTCATCTTGAAAAGAAGCAGTACAAGAATTCACTGTTGGTCTGGAGAGATGGCTCCTCATACAAGAGCATTTGATGATCTCACAGAGGACCCAGGTTTACTTTTCAGCATCCATATGGTAATTTACAATGTTGTATAACAGTGACCCTGAAGCCCTCTTCTGGTCTTTGCTGAAACTGTATGCATTTGGTACATATGCATGCATACAAATGCTCACATAAAATAAAATAATAAATCCCAGGAAGAAAGAAATCTTCATTGTTGACAACAGTTATCACAATGAAAGGTTTTGTGAGTATGGGAATGTTGAGTGTGGAGAGGAGGCTGCCATGTGGGTGATGGACACACATGGTTTTATTTCAATAATTCTTTTATCTGGTATGGCAGTCCCTAGGGGAAGCTTTGAATGTATTACAATGTGTTACCCAGATAAATATAACTCTTCCACCTCCCTCATAAACTTCTGAAAATACACAGAAGTTGACAAGTGTGGAGCCTCAAAAATTCATTTTGCAAATAGACTTTGTGAGAGACAACTAGAATGAATTTGATAGGTTCATCACAAATCCATACACAGAGAAGAAAGACCCCAGAGTGTCTCAATGTAGTTAATCTTTCCTATTCAGTTTTTTAACAAATGAAGAGCCAGCTTTTGGCTACATGTATATTACTTCTTTAATTTCCATGCATTTATGCTGACAATATTAAATATTGGTAGATGTTGATAAAATGAACATTCATTTAAGGAATAAGCGAAGTATGGAGGATCCACTAAGGCATAACATGCTTTACTATATTTTTATGGCTAATTCCATATTTGTATCGATGGCTTGCTCATTGTTAAGGGTGTTTAATTTAGGGGCTCTTTCAATTGTATCTAAGCATGGCTATATGTTAAAAATACCTTTAAATGCTTGATATACGTACCTTTAATTTTCTCATTGCTGTTTTATTAACTAGGCTTTAAATGTTGACAACATTAACAAGTGAAAATAAAATTGTTAAAAGTGTTATATGTTTTCTACATATATTCCTTATATAGATTTTATATATACATATATATATATATATATATATATATATATATGTCATCAAATAATCATCACTTTGCTTCAAAGCCAGTGGTTTTCTTATTTCAATATAATGATGAGAGAAACAGATATGGAAACTTAAATATTTCTAACCCTAGAACAAAAAGATAACATTTTTATTTAGATCTTAAGAAATCCTAAAAAGCTTAGAGCTTATTTTCAATGGATTAAAACCTAATTCTTCTTTTTTCTTATTTCCAATTTAAAGTCAACTATGATGAACCATTCAAATAAATGCATCCTTTCCTTTTTCTAGAAGAGTTGAAATAATTTATTAGATTAATTTCTCCTGAACTCGTGGAAAAATAATTTTAATACTAACATAAACCAAAAATATAGTCACTAGGAATGACAAGTAAACGTCAAACAGGAAGATGTAAATATAATAAGAAAAGCTGTTAATTCATGTAGACCAAGTTTCTAGTTGCACAACCAGGATTTAAAAATTTGGGGAGATATAATTTGCACAGCAGCACTTTATCCTCCTAGATAAAACACCACAGTAGCATTTCATATATCCTTGGGTTGCATCCTAAGTGGTTTTCTCTATATGCTCCACTGTATCTCAGAACACTATTATGAGCAGCAATATCTCACATATTTGAGTACAAACAGAAGAAGAACCAGCTTTGATAGTAAACCCTGCCCATTTGGAATGATTACAGGGACTGAATTGTGTTTTCTGCCATTTTAAAGTCACATGCCAATAATAAAGATTGAGTCCAAGTGTGCACCTTATATGAGGGACACAGCATCTGAAACTTCGAAATTGGTTAGTGTGTGGGGGGGGAGCAGCTGAAGCCAGGACATTGACATTGAGGTTTCCTGGATGAGAGCGGACAACCCTTGAGCTGAGCCAGTTTGGATCCAGGTCACCCATGGACATCTGGGGCCTGAGAGTGGTGAATATTACCTTCTCCCTCCACTTCCGCTTTCCCCAAGCACAGGCCTTCCTGCAGAGGTGGCAGTGGTTGCCCCAAGCAGAAAACTCCATGCATTTTGACCAAGATGTCAGAGGCAGCAGCAGGAGCCTCTATGCTCAGTGACTAAGGTGACAGAGGCAACTGTCCCAGGTACCCGTCTCTCTGCCCAGCAGACAAACAGTGGGCACTACTGAGATGACAGATCTTCTACATTTTCATTTGCCCCTGCAGGTCCAAATCTCAGAGTAGAGAACAGGGGGGAACCACTGTGCTTTCCTCTTAGGCCTACAAACGCATGAGAGCAACTTCAAGTGGGTGCGTGAGGAGCCACAGATGCAGGGTCCCTCTACACTAGCAGCCAGACATCAGATCCCTCCAACCCATACCCACACTGTGGGCAACATGGGGATCTTTGGAACAGCATTCTCAACATTGAGGACACTGTTCTGTGAGTCCCCAGTGGTGTCCAGGCAAACAACTCGTGGAGAAACCCAGACAGCTGAATATGTGGAGGACAATATGACAGGTCTGTAGGCCACTGAGACATTGAGGGCACCTGCACATGCACATTGAGCCCTCAAATAGGGCCAGCACCCCCACCTGCACTTACGCTCCACCCTTCCTGCTCTAGCATCCTGTCATTCAAGACACACTTCCACACACACTCTCACCCTTGCCCACATGAGCCTGCGGCCTTCCTACTTTAGCTACAGCTGAAACAGCAAAATCCAGTCTAAAACCAGTAGTCATATCTCATCTTCCTTAAGAATACCCCAGACACCAGGGACACATGGACCCAGTCTCAAGTACAGACTCCAGGAACAAATAGCAAAGATGACAGATAAGCAGATGGCTAGAAGTCAGCATAAGAACACACCCAACAAAACTTAGGACATCATGGCTTCACCAGCAACCCCAAATATCAATGGATATTTTAATTCATCAGAAACACAGATACATGATCTCAAATATAAGCTTATCCAGTTATTAGAGGCACATAAAGAGGAAACAAACACAGCTCTCAAAGAAATACAGGCAACTACAGCCAAACAAATAGAGGCACAAGCAAAGGTATAGAGAGAGGAAATGAACAAAAAAATAGAAGCAATCATGGAAAGACAGGAAACCACATTCAAACAGATGAAGGAAATGGAGCAGTGCATGAAAACAGAATTAGTATCAATGAAGAAAACACAAACAGAAAAAGCCTGGAGCTGAAGAACATGAAGAAGATCAAGAACCACAAAGGCAAACATCATCAACAGAATACAAGACATGGAAGAGAGAATCTCAGGCACTGAAGATACAACTGCAGAAATGGATGCATCTCTCAAAGAAAAAGTAAAATTGGAAAAGTTCCAAACACAAAACATCCAAGAAATCAAGAATGCTATAATAAGATGAAATATAAGAAGAATAGGAATAGGAGAAAAAGAAGATTCCAGATTCCAAGGTCTAGAAAATATTTTCAAGAAAATCATAGAAGAAAATTTTCCCAACTTAAAGAAAGAGATGTCCATAAACATACAATAGGCCTACAGAAACTAGATCAGACCAATATTAAGGTGTTGGGATCAATGTGTGGTTAAATCAAATCAAGTAAATAGATTAAATAGTCATATATCACCCAAAGAAAATGAAGTAGTCATAAAAAAAAATAAAAAAAAATAAAAATAAAAAAGCCCAGGGCCAGATGGTTTCATCCCAGAATTCCACCAGGCCTTCAAAGAAGAGCTAACTATTCCACAAAATAAAAACAGAAGGAACATTACCAAACTCATTCTATGAAGCCATAGTCACCTTAACACCCAAACCACACAATGACCCAACAAAAAAATAAACTTCAGACCTATCTCTCTTATGAACATTGATACAAAATTACTCAATAAAATACTAGCAAACTGAATCCAAGAACCCATAAAAGATATCATCCACCATGACTATACAAGCTTCATCCCAGGGATGCAGGGGTGGTTCAACATAGGGAAATCCATCAATTTAATCCACCATATAAACAAACTGAAGGAGAAA